AACTGCTATCGCGGATTCTCGAAATTTGGGATTTTGACCCCTAAAAATAAAAAAAAAAATTATTTTTTAAAAAACTCAAAAAATTTCCACAACAAAATTTTCGAATTTCGAAAAAAAAAACCGGAATATGTGGTAGTCCCTGCGCTCTTCGATATACATACCAAATTTAGATCGATACCTCTGTTTTTGGCCAAGTTATATCGAAAAAAAAAACTGTTTAAAAAATTGATGACGTCAAATTTTTAACTTAATTTTTAGCAATTCTAGACCTCGTAGCGCAAAACGGAGACCACCATTGAACTCCCCGTGACGAGCATCGAAACGATATCCATTTTATGCAAAAAATATCAACTTTGAAATTTGACCTAATTTGACTGACTTTGAACTGACCTTGACTGACCTTGACCAAAACGTGACCTAAGCTGGCCCTTAAGTCTTTCTGACCCACATAATCGCATTTGTCATGTAAAATGGACCATAAAACATGTATCACACGACACTTTCATATTGTGACCCCCCAGTGACCTGACCTCTGTGACCTGACCTGGTATCAGTGACCTCAAATAGCAAAATATGTGTTTGAAGAACATTTCCCCATCGATGATTTTCAATGAAATGCATTTTACTCGATTTTACAACGCATTTCTTGAGATGCCTGTAAACGGTGAAAATTCGACCTTTGACCTGACCTGTGACGTCATCGTTTTGACCGAGGTCAATGAAATTGGGTCACAAGGTAGATCCCCGTTGGGGCTATCCAACACCGTTTACCCCTTGTCGCTATGTTGCGTGGTTCTCGAGATCTGAGGGGGGGGGCAAAATGCCCCCCCCCCCCCATCAGACCGCGTTGCTCGGCAGACCCCATCTGGGCGCGGGTTAAACTGCTGTTAGTTGGCATAAGAAATAAGAAATAAGGCATAAGAAATGTCCGACTGTCACAGCTGAATAGTAAACAAAATTAATCAGTGGAGATTAAGGAGGAACGACACAAAAGCAGCATTAATACAAAACGAATCCGTGTTTATCAATCAAAATAAGCCTGTCCTATGTCCGTTGATCAGTGAACAGATGGAGAGGCGTCCATGCTATTGTTGTGGGAGCATTGAGCGCAGGTCGCAGGACAGTGCACCTCCGCCCCTCTATCCTCAAGGGAGCGCACAGCTCGCCCCCTGCGGAACACGGCTCCCCCGGCACATCGGTCCCAGACAGACTGTCCATTTCCGTGGGCACGGGGAGAGATAGCGACCTTTCGACGAACCCTTTCGCCGAGCTAAGCCGCGACTCGTCCGTCCCATGGGGATCGCTATCGATGCAGATAGTATTCACGTCTGCTCCAGACCTACCCTTCCATTGAGGAACGGTGGTCGCGGCGAGCGGGATGAGCAGATATCGGACAATGCTGTGGGACCCACCGAGGTAGCTGACTGACGATGGGAGACGCTCCATGGCGAGGACCCTTCCTTCCGTCAGCTGGGGTGTGACTCAACTCTTTACGTATCTTCTGTCCCATTCGACACATCCCCCAGCAGTGCTCCGCTTATGGTCCGAACGTCGCCCCCGGCGCCAGGGGATCTCAAACCTTTTGGTCGAGCTCCCAGGTCTTAGATGATGTGAGGGGAGCATTCAACTTGTTTAGCATGTAGCTCGCCTCTTCGAGTGGTCATATGTTACGCTGTAACACACGAACAGAACTTCCTGAACTGGGACGTCGCTCGGCAATCGCTACGCTGAGTTGAAATGATTCGGAAATAAACGTCGAATGTAGGAACTACGCCCGTAACTAGCGACGTGCGCCAGTATTTTGAGAAGTTATTGGTGCGCCAGGAAAGTCATCACGAACTCAGGCTTATGAACGGAAATGAAACGATTACAGACAGACGCACATCTAGAAATTTATAGCCGGCTAGGGCCTGTCTGGCTGAGAGTTCTAACTAGAATGGAGATTAGGAATGGTCCATCTGGTTTAGTTTTACACTCACGGTCCAGTAGCCCGATTGGAATGGCACTGGTCCGTTCTCCCAACCGGCGCATTCGTCCAAGCCTAGATCAGGGGGCACTGCAGACCTCACATCTTGTTAATTACAAAATCTGCCATGACGGTCAAATGACAGAAGCCTTAGGTAGGTACTGCAGGCAGTATGAAGTTATTTAGAGGTGATTTTTTTCAACTTTACCGTCCATATGCAATTGGATTGGCAAAGGTTACAAGAAAATGTGTAAGATAGGTAGGTACCTATGTGGCTCAATAATAACCTGCACTAAGCATGGCAAAGCTTTTCTCGAATCATAAATGCTTATACATGGATATCAGTAAAACAGGTGTAATAAATCTTTAAAAATGTAGAAAATCCACGAAAAGTCTTGTTTTATTTTAATGTTTTAATATCACGTTCCATGTTCATTGGTCAGTGATCATGCATGGGATGACCTGAATTGGTAATAACACATCACATCTCTTCCGTCACATTTGTTTCGTCATCCTGCACAGTTGGATTTGCTCAGCTTATCGATGCAATCTACTTGGATGTAAAATTCCGTGACCGGCGTGCTAGTTTGAGCTAATCCGAGTGACTTTTAAATGTAATGGACATATGACTGTCCCTCGCATATCATTAATAGGTACCTAATTACTAAAATACGAAACTTACAACGGATACAGCCAGGCATGACCACAGGCAACCGATTTCGAAAAAAACTGATTTTAGCTTAGCATATATTCCCAAAGAAAGTTCACTCGTAAGCCAAAACTTTTGCAATAATCTCTGAATTACCATATAAGGTATAGTTAGCCAGCCGACCACATAGCGCTAACCTCCCCCCCCCCCCTCTTCCCGCCGTCGCCGTCTGTTGTCGGATTGGGAGCCCCTGGTCGGATGACGGTCGGGGCTGCCCGCCGCGGCCGAGACGACAGAAGGCGGGGCACCGCCGCCCGGCCGCAGCCGCCGCCGGCTGAACCACGCACTGTGCGTGTGACGCCCGGCGCGAGGGGAGGCAGTCGCAGCGCGCTCTGTGGAGGAGTGGCCACGCGGTCAGCTGTGGGGGTGAGATTGGAAGGAAGGAGTTGGGAGAGGTTTGTGGTGAGTGGAACTGAAGAGTGAAGTGTGAATGGTGAACTGATACGAGCGAGTGACGAGAAGGGGACTGAGAGACAGTGTGATTAGTGGGGAGTTCGAACGAGCGACTGAACGACGGGAGTGAGAGGAGTCGGGAAGACGGATAGCAGGCACTTGGTGAGTACCTAGGGATCCCACTCCGCATGTAAATATCGGTTGATTCTGCGTTTTGAGTGACCGGTTGAGGTGCTGATTAAAACTTTTGTTGGCGGTCACAATGTATTTAAAATGATACCAACTGTTTGTTGTTTTTGGTGTAGAAAATTGAACTGCTGTTCTCAGAAAAAGAAAGATTGGCCACTTGACATGGGACCCTCACAAGATCCGCATTTATGTCAGTCTGCATCGGAGCACCCCGCTCCGTACCACACCCCTCGCACCATCCTCGCGTCCGTCTTCTGTCCATCATCACATCTACGACTCTGTGACGACCCCGCGCCTGTGCACAGCGCACATTGCACAGTGTGCGTACTGCGTGCACGCCGTGCACTGCACAGTGCACACGTGCACGTTCCGTTTTGACAGTGTGATGTGGGTATCATCAGTGACGGTCACGGTAATTGATTCTGAGAGAGCATGATGTCAGTTCTCACGTACAGCAGCTAGCAGAGATGATTGGTTCGGGTGGAGAGGGCAGCCTCAGTGTGGACTGGGTGTGCGGCAGGCTGTCCTGCTGATATATGAATGTGTGTCCATAAGCTGAGAAGATTTTAACACTGAGTGCGGTCACCTCTGTTAGAGGTTGGATGTGTTGGAAAGTGAATGATGTGATAGGATTTGACAATGACATAAGCTAAGGAATGACCAGTGACTATATCCATCTTTCTTTGAACATTCTTCTCAGTATCTTCTTCTTTGAGCCTTCTTCTTCTTCTTCTTCTTCTTCTTCTTCTTCTTCTTCTTCTTCTTCTTCTTCTTCTTCTTCTTCTTCTCTTCTTCTTCTTCTTCTTCTTCTTCTTCTTCTCTTCTTCTTCTTCTTCTTCTTCTTCTTCTTCTTCTTCTTCTTCTTCTTCTTCTTCTTCTTCTTCTTCTTCTTCTTCTTCTTCTTCTTCTTCTTCTTCTTCTTCTTCTTCTTCTTCTTCTTCTTCTTCTTCTTCTTCTTCTTCTTCTTCTTCTTCTTCTTCTTCTTCTTCTTCTTCTTCTTCTTCTTCTTCTTCTTCTTCTTCTTCTTCTTCTTCTTCTTCTTCTTCTTCTTCTTCTTCTTCTTCTTCTTCTTCTTCTTCTTCTTCTTCTTCTTCTTCTTCTTCTTCTTCTTCTTCTTCTTCTTCTTCTTCTTCTTCTTCTTCTTCTTCTTCTTCTTCTTCTTCTTCTTCTTCTTCTTCTTCTTCTTCTTCTTCTTCTTCTTCTTCTTCTTCTTCTTCTTCTTCTTCTTCTTCTTCTTCTTCTTCTTCTTCTTCTTCTTCTTCTTCTTCTTCTTCTTCTTCTTCTTCTTCTTCTTCTTCTTCTTCTTCTTCTTCTTCTTCTTCTTCTTCTTCTTCTTCTTCTTCATGCTCAACCTCAGCAGGACTTGAGCTGTAAGTACTCTTGTGACCGCAAAGATGAATCTTGTTTTCGTCAATCGTCAGGGCAAGGATTATCATAACGATTGACGATTATCTATGTAGTGAACGTAATCCGATATACACATAAAAATTGCTACGTAATTAGGATCCAGTCAACTTACCATTACACATTTGACTTTGCGTGGTTCTATCTGCATGATATTATCTGGTCATACAAAATAATAGCCGTCAGTCAATTAAACCTGCAGCCGTATTGGAGACGCAAAATTTGCATGTCGTGATGTCAGTGTTTACATTGAGGATTGCACCAGTGTATATGTCTCGTTGCAGTAGCAATGTTGACCATTCACGTAAGCAGGATTTAGCGCAGCTGGCCACAAAGGACAAGAGTATCTAGTGGTTTCACATTTCAGTTCAGTGGATCTCACGGCTGCAAAGTCCCTTTTCTGAGCTAGCTAAAATACCTAATAGATATTGAAGAAGTCGACCCTTAACTATTCTGCCTGCTTGTTATGTCTCCCGCCTTTTCATATTTAACTTGCCTTGTTAGTATTCATATCACGCAAGGATTTACTTCATATATCATATTAAAAAGTTGGCAATTTATTAAACGATAGCCTGGTGAGCACTGATGCATAAAAAACTGCTGAGATCAACATTTGTCCTACCTGTTCTGGCTTCAGCCGACAGCCCATGTACTTCTTCAAACGCCTTTAGCGGCTACAACATCCAAACGTGCAGCCTTTTCTCCCAACGCCTGTTCGAACATCCTTCAAGCTCTGTCAGGCGCCTCGCTAATCAGCATTAACTGAGTTAACGAGCCTCTGGATCGTTCCGGGATAGCGTTATCCCTATTTGCATGGTTCCGTCGTGTTAGTAAAAACGTCCTGTCACCGATCGTCACAGCTCGCTGTGCACTTCTGCCGGCCACTTCAACTACTCTTTGGCCGTCCCTCGTCTCGGCAGGTGCACATAAAAGTCGTTTTTGCGCTCTTACGATACGCGTTTCGATAGTGAAAACGTCCTAAACCAATCAGGAATGCTCACGACTACGGTTGACGGTCGCTCGAAAAACGCCACCGGAGGGCGACGGAATGTCGAAGCTCGTGCGCAACTCATTTGTGCCGGCATTCAGCTGGCGTTCGTAATTCATTCGGGGCTCATCTGCAGCGATCCAACGACCCACACCTGTTCAGATCTGACATTTGATCTCTCTAAACTGCTCGGCGGCGCGGCTGTTGCTGCCACCTCAGTCTGACCTTAGGGCCAGTCCAATCTGCAAACACGAGGTGCAGATGCAACTCGGGTGCACCTCAGAAGGCGTGTAGGCCCTAAAGCTGATAGCGTAACCCTGAAACTGCACTACCCTGGGTGTCGCGATCGTAGTTCTTCCGGCTCTGTCACCATTGTTGATGTCACCGATGCCGGTGTGGTGCCGGCGACGCGATGGTGTCGGTACTGGTGCCGTTACTGCACAACTCTGGTGCCAGCGTTGAAGCCACCTCTGGTGCCGGGCGCCGCCACGATGCCTTCGTTTACACCTGGGCTGCCAGCCACAAATATTTACGCGATTTTTGCGCGGTGTAAATGCTGGTGATCTTATGTTACCAAACAGACGCGCGTCTCTTGGTAATTATAGCGCACTTGTGCGTGGAATGTTGATCATTGAACGTGCCCTGGGCGTGTGGGGGAGGGGGGCTGTTGGCCGCCAGGTAAGCTACGAAACACGGCACCTGGCCAGGCCTGCCGGCACTGCTCCGCCGGACGTGGCTCCGTTGAATCCTGAAGGCGCGGAGGATAGAGAAGAAGGGGGCTCTGTTGCTGAGTTTATAGCTAGGTCATGAAAGGACTTTTGTTTGGAAATGAGGCGCTGTGAACGGTAGAGATTATGGCGTTTATTTTAAACAGTGACGTTAACCATGCGCCTTAGCCGCGATGACTAAGGGGGATGTTTTAACTTGTAAGTCATTAGTATCTTTCTAAGGCTCAATAATTAATCAACCCCGTCTATCCAACACCACAACTCGTTCATCTAGTCATCTCTAACACCCTTTGATGCCTCTCCAACATTGGACGATACGTGAATTAATGGCACGTGCCGCGCGCCGTCGTCAGAATCCAAAAATATCCGTCAGATGACGGTGATGTGGCGTTTTTGTTCGTAAACATTTGGCCGCGTCACTGCCGCAGCCGCCAGATGTAGCACGGAAGTCACCTGGGGACGGACCGACCACCGGGACTGCTAGCTGGATAGGCGGGCTGGAGAGGCGGGACTTGGATAGGCGGACTGGAGAGGCGGGGTGTCACGCAGTTCAGCTGGGTCCACGAGAGGAAACAGGCTGGTCAGCTGCGGGGGTGGGGAGTGTTTCAAAGGGAAGGGGAGGGACGGACTGGCCACTGCCACTGTGACCATTGTGGTCTGTCCCATCCCATCTAGCAGTAGTTACTGAATGAGGCCACCGGGCCAGCGGCAAATTAGTGTCACGAACCTGTTGACACATGGCGCCCTCCAGCCGCCGGTAACCCGTCATCGGGCCGGCACCCCGTCATCGGATGTCATCAGGGGACATCAGGGTCCGGCCGGCAGCTGGCGGGGCGCGGTCACCCAGGTGGGCCACCTGGCCAACAGGCGAGGCGACACCCTCATTGGGAGGCATGATTTGCACCTCTCTATAGGTGTTTAGTGGTCTCGCAGTGACTGCATCACGGCTGAGGTCACGACGGCGGCAGAAAAGGTCACACGGAAGTCATCAGTCCTCGGTTCGCTGGTTTGAAGAGTCTGGAAGACTTTGTGTGACAGATTTTCGTAGAATTACAGGATTGATTTGGTGATCGTTGCACTGCCAAGTGTCACAGCTGCAGCCATGGACATTGGACGGTCGCCATCAGGTCAGCTGTTTCGGGATTATAACGATGTTTGTGGCTGGACCAGACATAAGAATGTTCCTTGAGCACGTCTTTCCGAACTTTGCATTCCACAGCTGTAAATTACCTTTCTGCAAGACAGAGACCAGAAGAACTCAACTCAACAACACTCGGTCAAACGCTGCACCAAAGTGAACATTCAGTCTCAGAATATTTTCATTTTCCACTCTCCGTACCGTCTCCTATCCGATCGGACCGACCACCCTCGTGTCGGAAACTGGATCTCTGTCATCTGCGCCGTCACCTCTGACTTCCAGTCAGCCGTGAAGTTACCCGTCCCTCTGTCTCCGCTCCCACCACTCTGCCGCACCCCTCCCCTCGTCACCCTTCCCCGGCGAGACAGCGGGGCGCGGGGGGGGCTGTTGTATCACATGGGAAGGCACGACTCCGGGAGGAAACAGGCCGCGGAGACTGAGAGGAGCGGATACTCGCTGTGGCTTCTCTTGGTCTCCGGTTAGTGAGCCGACAGCAAGGGTAGAAATGCAGTCAGCTGTCTGAACTCAGCTCACAGCTGACTATACCATCACCATGGATAGTGATTGGTGAGGTGATGGAACGGTGGCGGACGGTGGTGATCAAAAATGGTGTTTTCGATGTGCTGAAGGAATGTTGATGTGAGACAGCACATCGACAGACAGTTGGGATGGGCAGTGTTGTCGAACACTTATCGAAGATTCGTCTAATAGATTC